TTTCTAACCTGGCGACGCAAAAAATATCGCGCTTTCACAACACAACCTCATAAAAGTGCGCTTGGCAAGTTGAATCGCGAATGCTGGAAGCTCACGTTATATTCTCTGCGTTGTTACTGATGAGTCCGTATCACTTTTTAAATTCTACTTGGTAAACTTGCAAAATGTTCAAATAGACAACACCAAAGAAGCTTACTGCGAAAACTAGATTGATGCTTAAAGATGATAACTTCCTTTCCAACTTGTCCGACAAGGTGTTCCCGCCTTGAAAAGTAAAGCAGTTTCATAGACTCACTATCACTAAGCTTAACGTCTTGCTTGACTTGCAATTGTTGACAGAGATCGAAAGAACTTAAGTCTTAAGGATGCCGGAAAGAATCGCCCGCTTGATCCAATGTGAAGTTTTTTCTTCATGCTCACTAAAAAAAGAGCATTCAGCACTTTTGCTCTAGATTCTCATAACTTTGTCGGTGATGCCTGCTTTAATAAAAAACTAAGACTGCTATCAGCCATCAGCACATTCTCGTTTGAGCATGTTGCCTTAGTATTTGTTGACTATCTCTGAGGCGAGCATCAAGCTTCACTTAGTAATAATTAGGGTATTTGAACAGTGCTCTCAGAACATACTTTTGTACGACACAATATCAGTATCCAATTTTTAGTTTTTTATCTGCATTCATTATAGTACAAATGGCTCTCAGAAACGTACTTTTGTACGACACAATATCAGTATACCTTTTTTTGTTTTTTATCTGCATTCATTATAGTCCGTCGCACACTTTTTCTCGATTATAAAAACCATATTCAGTACTTGCTTAAAATACTAATATGCGGCAATATCAAGCATCCCGGACATAATCCCCAGCCAACCAAACTGTTCAGGCTTAATTCTTCAAAGTTTTATTCTCGTTTTTGTCTAAAATCCAGTAATCGACAGTCAAAATGCCTCGTGGACCTCGTAAGCACCTGAAGCGCTTAAGCGCCCCAAAGCACTGGATGCTTGGTAAGCTGGACGGTATCTGGGCACCACGTCCGTCGTCCGGCCCGCATAAGCTGCGCGAGTGTTTGCCGCTTATTATTATTCTGCGTAACCGCCTCAAGTATGCTTTAACTAAGCAGGAAGTTACTATGATCTGCATGCAAAAGAGTGTTAAAGTGGATGGTAAGGTCCGCGTGGATCCGGACTTTCCAGCTGGTTTTATGGATGTTGTTGAGATTCCCAAGACCGGTGATCAGTTCCGTCTATTGTACGACACAAAGGGTCGCTTTGTGCTCCACCGCATCTCAGACGATGAGAAAAAATTCAAGCTTGCCAAGGTGATTCGTCAAGAGTATACTAAGAAAGCCATTCCGTATATTGCTACAAATGACGGACGCACGATCAGATACCCAGATCCTATCATTAAGGTTGGTGACACGGTCAAGATTGACCTTGAAACTGGCAAGATTGTCGATCACATCAAGTTTGAAGTTGGTAACCTTGTGGCTATCACCCGTGGACGTAATGCTGGTCGCGTAGGCATTCTACACAATGTTGAAAGGTAGGAACACACCTTCTGGACTCATCGCGAGCTGGGTGTGGTGGTTTTATCTCATTCTACAATTCGTAGTCTATCGATAGCTCAAGTTAGTATATCGCTGTGATCTAACTTCTTGTTGTCTGTGAATGTTGTAGACATCAGGGTTCATTCAACATTGCGCACGTTAAAGACTCAGCCGGCCACGACTTTGCCACTCGTCTCGGTAATGTCTTTGCTATTGGTAAAGAAGCTCGCCCGTGGGTTTCTCTGCCTAAGGGAAAGGGTGTGAAACTTAACATTCTGGAGGAGCGTGAACTTAAGGAGAAGAAGTCTCATAACTAAGTTTAGTACTCAACCTGTAGGTTAAGGTCAGTATGCTGGTTATGCTGTACTCTTAGATGAGTTGCACTCTAGCAATTATTGTGCCTGTCCTCGTTGATCTGGCATGAAACGAGAATTGAAGTGATAATGAAATTTGTCATGTACACTGGAATTTTGTATTGTCCCTTACTTTAAGAACTATGTTTAGTGAACAAAATATTAGAATAGCTTCTTAAATATTGGAGTGATCCACTATTCTTGTAATTTATTCGGTTGTCTGAACTGTTCGGTCAGCCATGACGGAGCGTCTTTACGTGACTGTCATCCAAACGTGTGCGTCACTGGCTGCATGCTCTCTATTCGCGAGTCTCATACCGGATATTCGTGTTGTGCACCAGCAGAAAAGCACAGACAGTATGCCAAGTTCCCTCCCAGTGTTGTCGATGATGGCAAACTGTGTTGCGTGGGGACTCTATGGGTTACTTATTGATGATTACTTCCCTCTCGTAGCCACAAACTTGATTGGTTTAGCCTTCTCACTCTGTTATCTCATCGTATACTACCAAAATGAAAAATACAAAAAGAGGCTGCGATTGGAAATATTTGTAACAATATTGGTGTTACTGGGGCTCATCTCGTATCCGTCCGTTGCAGGTTTTGAGGGTGTGAATGAAAGGACAATACAAGATGTCGTTGGATTTGTGACTATAATTGTTTCAATGGTCATGTTTGGCTCACCGCTTGTTTTGGTAAGAGAGTGATTCAAGAACGTAGCACGGAGCTACTTCCTCTGACGATGGTTATCGCTGGCGCAGTTAATTGTGTGCTGTGGCTTGCTTATGGATTATTGCTTGACAATTTATTTGTTGTTGTCCCCAATGCCGCAAATCTGCTTTTAGGCATCATGCAATTGATGCTCTTCTGCATATACCCACGTAGCCGAACTTACGACTCAGTGGAACCCTCTTCTTCTAAAGCCGATTTAAAAAATACTTCAAATCATGGCGAAGGGACGAAAAAGGGTTTTGAGAAAACCTCTACAATTGATACCGATGAAGAAATGAGCAGCGTGGACGAAGAATCACAGGCAAAAATTATGACTTCAGAGCAATCTACTGAGGTGAACATTTCGATTGAAGTCCATCAAAAAGGCTGAAATGTTACTTTTCGTATGAATAACGATCCAACATAATTGGTATAAGTGGTGTGGGTTCAAGAGACATCGTACGTCGAAAGCACTATCCAGTGGATGTGATCATGCCACGCTTGTGTCTTAGGAACTTGGCGGTAGCGAGAGAGACACAATATGCCTTCTCTATTGTATTTGAGACTAGAAGAAGTTACTAAAGAACGAGTATTGTTTTCAATAATTTACTTTATCATTTTCTTAGAAATGCAATTTATTTTTTGTACAGTTGATATTTTCGTAAGCTAAGCGTATTTTTGCATCCTAGGGCCGTTCGTTTTCTTAAGAAATTTTAGCTGTTGCATTATGCAGAATATCATGATATTATACTACGATCGATCGAGATGCAGTAAGAATTATATTATGTGTCTCGTTCGTAAAAGTCCGTCATCTATCAATTATTTTGAGTATTTTTTATAATCAATTCATGATATTGACAAATTGAAAATCTCAATAAATATAAGAACGATACAAACTATAGTACTCCTCATATATACGACACAGGATGGATGGAAAATTCATTTCTTACGCGCCTCTGTAAGCTGACTCCCGACATAATCGGATTCTACTTTCGTCAAGTTGCCGTATAAGATGTGATAAACCAGTTTTGCAAAACGATATGGACGCACAAAGTAGGAGCTTCGTTCTGCTTTTTACAATTTCATTATGTTGCAGCGAGTTACACATGTACCATAAAGCGATCATGAGAGTACTGTACTACATTAGTCACAAAGAAACAATTTTAGAGCTAAAATGAGAACTATAGAACCTTATTCCCTACATACATCAATTCATGAGGAGAGAAAAGAAAAGAGAACCGCGTTTACATTGTACAGGACTTTTGTACTATTGTACGATAATAAAGTGCATAATGTATGAATAGTGTACACATTTGTGTTTCTTGTTCATCCATGAGTATGCTAAATAGTGGACTCACACACTTTTTGACATCAAGTAATTAGTTGACGCTTTAGTCCTTTGAAGTTAATATGTATGTTGTCGAAGTTGTATGACTGTATGTTACCTCGCAGATATCACAGTGTTGTCTTACCTCGCGACGTAACGATATGCTTCTTTCTGCCCATCAGATTGCTCACGTTTTTTCATTACCTGTATAACCGTCTGCATGCACACTCAAGCACCAATCATTGGTACTTAACTTTTGACAGCTGTTTGAATATGCATGATTTTGTTATAAATATCAATGGAAGTATTCGTACAAATCCAAATGTTACTGGCATTTCGATCTGCGATTGTTTTCTCAATTGTCAATTTGCATTGCAGAACAAAGGACTAACGCAAAGAAAGGTGCACATGCGTCTGTTTTGGGTTTTCATGGTTGCTGCGGGAACTTTGCTAGCTGTCGGCGAGGTAGAATCGAGGGCTACTGTTTTTGGCTCGACGACGTTCAGAGACTTGAAGTTGTTCAAAACCTTAAAAAACTTGCCGGTGTCTAAAGTTGCTAAGGTGTCCGACGATTTAACAGTAACCGTTAATGACAAGGAGTTTACCATCCCACAACGTTATTTTGTTGACGAAAGGATTCAACCGGCTGATGTAAAAGCACTCATCAAGAGCGAAACAACGGTAGCTCAGTTTGATCTAAGGATTCGTTTAAAGGACGCTAACGATCTGAGAAAATCCGAGGAATATAAGTGGCATGCGGGATACGTCAACATTTTGCTTTCAATTGAACGAGGAGATGTCAGTAAAGAGGTAAAGGTTTTAGTGAAACGTCTCCGTAACAGCTAACATAAAAGACATAAACCACAGTCTGCATTCGATTAAGTTGATCATATCTGCAATAGCAAAACAACATGTTATTTGTTTAGTCAGCTTGTAAAAAAACGACATTTTCTGTAATGCTAACTCTGTTGACTTCACCATTCTTTTCAGTCTTACCCATCATATCAGCGAAGTTACAGCTAGTAACTTGATTGCGCTTTCTACTGAAAGTAATCGATTGCAATATTAACTATGCTCCCTGCGAGGCTGGAGAAATGATATGACATCGATAGTGTAAGACACTTTTCTCGCGATGATTTTGCTAACTCTAGGTCAAGAATTAGGATTCAAATTATAGTAAACACCCTCGTTTTTAAGTGAGAAGGTGTATTGTGTCTCTCCCGCCACCACCGCCAAGTTACAAAGACACAAGCGTGGCATGATCACATCCACTGGATAGTGCTTTCGACGTACGATGTCTCTTGAACCCACACCACTTATACCAATTATGTTGGATCGTTATTCATACGAAAAGTAACATTTCAGCCTTTTTGATGGACTTCAATCGAAATGTTCACCTCAGTAGATTGCTCTGAAGTCATAATTTTTGCCTGTGATTCTTCGTCCACGCTGCTCATTTCTTCATCGGTATCAATTGTAGAGGTTTTCTCAAAACCCTTTTTCGTCCCTTCGCCATGATTTGAAGTATTTTTTAAATCGGCTTTAGAAGAAGAGGGTTCCACTGAGTCGTAAGTTCGGCTACGTGGGTATATGCAGAAGAGCATCAATTGCATGATGCCTAAAAGCAGATTTGCGGCATTGGGGACAACAACAAATAAATTGTCAAGCAATAATCCATAAGCAAGCCACAGCACACAATTAACTGCGCCAGCGATAACCATCGTCAGAGGAAGTAGCTCCGTGCTACGTTCTTGAATCACTCTCTTACCAAAACAAGCGGTGAGCCAAACATGACCATTGAAACAATTATAGTCACAAATCCAACGACATCTTGTATTGTCCTTTCATTCACACCCTCAAAACCTGCAACGGACGGATACGAGATGAGCCCCAGTAACACCAATATTGTTACAAATATTTCCAATCGCAGCCTCTTTTTGTATTTTTCATTTTGGTAGTATACGATGAGATAACAGAGTGAGAAGGCTAAACCAATCAAGTTTGTGGCTACGAGAGGGAAGTAATCATCAATAAGTAACCCATAGAGTCCCCACGCAACACAGTTTGCCATCATCGACAACACTGGGAGGGAACTTGGCATACTGTCTGTGCTTTTCTGCTGGTGCACAACACGAATATCCGGTATGAGACTCGCGAATAGAGAGCATGCAGCCAGTGACGCACACGTTTGGATGACAGTCACGTAAAGACGCTCCGTCATGGCTGACCGAACAGTTCAGACAACCGAATAAATTACAAGAATAGTGGATTACTTACAATATCATGCTTATATGCATCTAAACCTCATGAGGACTGTGTAAAGTTTATATTTTTCATTCCTTAGCAAAGATTTATTTTCTTACATGACTTACATGCCCAGTTTGGTTGACACTAAATATTGTCAAATTGAAAATCTCAACAAATATTAGAAGCGAATACAAGAACTTTACAAACTATAATACTCTTCATATATACGACAAAGGATGGATGGAAAATTCATTTTTTACGCGTCTCTGTAAGCTGACTCCCGACATAATCGGATTTTACTTTCTTGAAGTTACTGTATAAGATGCGATAAAACAGTTTTGCAAAACCATATGAACGCACAAAGTAGGAGTTTCGTTCCGCTTTTTTACAATTTCAATATGTTGCAGCGAGTTACACATGTACCATAAAAGATCATGAGAGTACCGTACTACATTAGTCACAAAGAAGCAATTTTAGAGTTAAAATGAGAACTATAGAACCTTATTCCCTACTACATCAATTCATGAGAGAGAAGGAAGAGAAGAGGGAACCGCGTTCTACATTGTACAGAACCTTATTGTACATATCTCGATTTCAAAGTGTATAATGTATGAATAGTGTACACATTTGTGTTTCTTGTTCATTCATAAATATGTTAAATAGTGACTCACCCACTTTTGACATCAAGTAATCAGTCGACGCTTTAGTCCTTTGAAGTCAAAATGTGTGTTGTCGAAGTTGCATGATTGTGTGTTACCTCGCAAATATCACAGTGTTGTCGTACCTCATGACGTAATGATATGCTTCCTTCTGCACATTAGATTACTCACGTTTTTTCATTACCTGTACAACTGTCTAGATGTACACGCTTTTATTGGTGCCTAACTTTTGTTATATATGCATGATTCTGGCATAAACATAAATGTAAGTATTCGTGCAAAATCCTTATTACTGGCATTTTTAATCTGCGATTGATTTCTCAAGTTTGCATTGGACTAAACGTGCTCATGCGTCTGTTCCGGATTTTGATGGTTGCTGTGGCGACTTTGCTAACTGCTGGCGAGGTGGAATCGAGGGCTGCTTTTAGCGTTAAGGCGATCAAGGACTTGAAGGTGCTTGAAGATGCAAAGGTGTTAAAACGTGTTAAGATGTTAGAACGTGTTGATGCGTTTGATCGTGCTAAGGTGTCAGAAAGTGTTGAGGCGTTAAAACGTGCTAAGGTGTTAGAACGAGTTAAGGCGTCCGAAGGTGCTATGGTGTCCGCAGGTGCTAAGGTGTCAGAACGTGCTACGGTGCCCGACGATTACATTGTAACCGTTGATAACATGAAGTTTACCATTCCGGAGCATTATCTCAAAAACAAAGAAATTGAACCGGCTACTGTGAAGAAACTCATCGGGGATAAAACAACGTTAGACGATTATACAAGAGATCTTGGTATTGATACAGCAAATTTTCGAATAGAAAAGACTCAGAAAAACTTGAGGAAGATCCAGGAATACGGGTATATTTTGCTCAAAATTAAACGTGGAAATTTCGAGAACGGGGTAAAGGATCTTGCGACAGAACTCCGTGCGCACAAACAACAAAAACTGTTACGAACGTTTGCATTCAAAAATACTGATACGTTGATCACATGAGCAATTGTAAAACAACATGTAATTTGTCTAGTCCGATAATAAAAGTAACATTTACTGTGCTGTAAAATTCTGTTGACTTCTCCATTCTTTTTGATCTTACAGCGAAGTTACGGCCAACAACTTGATTGCGCTATCTACTAATTGCAATACTAATTGATCTCCCTGTGAGGCTAAAGAAACGATAGACATCGATAGTGTAAGACGCTATTCTCGCGATGATTATGCTAACTCAAGGTCAGGCAGGTACTATTCGCAATAACAAAAGCCCTCAGGAAAAAATCTCATGTGCAAATGAAAAAGAACTAGTTCATTTGTATCTTGTCTTCCCGTCCTGAAGTTACCATTTCTGTACCAAATTGACCTGCTGTGATAACAAACGATCTATCAATCTTTTGTATGTATAATAGAAGTATAGACGCAACAGTATCTAGAGGTGCCATCTCAACACTCCAACTTGTTGATCCTTGGCATAAACTCGGTCTTGATACTTACTGCCTTGTGTATAGAAGTGATTATGTTCGCTTTGAGTTCCTTTGTCAGCATACCTGCCAGCTGATGCTTCAGTCGAATTCAGGTTCCTTTCATCTTATCGCAGATGAAGTGGCGCCTGCTTCGGTTGAGCATGGTTATCGGCGTTGTTGGCTGAATTGATCGCTCTTTGGTTGCCTTTCCAACTTTTGTGCCTTCCACTTGCTCATGTCCACAGCCTCACGCGCGTAAAAAGAACTTCGTGAGTGCATAAGCTAATTGTTATATACTTAGCATTCGTCGAACTGAGTGCAACATGTTGTTGGTACTTTGACTTGAGCTCAACTAGTGCGCCCTCCCAAAATCAAAAGTATTGCTGCCTTAATCAGCAACTGACCCGCGTTCTAGCCCGGGAGATCCTTCAGGAAATATGACAGCTGTTATCAAATATGCAACTCCTGATCAAGTACATGTCGTTATGAACAGCACACGTTCGATTACGAATCGATACGGTTTTGCGCATTACCTTTAGTTGTAGGCAACTGCATTCAACTCTGATGAGCACAAGTCGTCAACATTCCTGACAACTTGTTGACCGAATTGCATGACCACGTTGTCGATGTTGCAAAAGTAATTGACAGTATAGAATTGAAGCTGACTTGACGTGCTCGAAACCCCATGCAAAGGATGAACTTTACCTACCGAGGCCCTTTGTCTCGAATTTATATCTGAGCACTCCCTTAACCAAATATAACTCCTTGCCTGTAGTTGCTGCGACAATCATTTCGGTCACAAATGGACCAAAGTATACAAAGACCTTCCAAAGATCGCTCAAAATCAATGCACTGATTCCCTTCGCAGTCCTTAAAGCCATTTTTTTAAATACCACAATACTTCGTCCTGCTCCAGGCATTGCTGCTTGTTTCAGCCGGTAGATAGCCTTATTTAGCTGAAACGAGTATCCTTGAGCATTGTCGGTAAGAAGCAAAAATTCCTTTTAAACATTGTCTGTCAGCACGCTGATCAATATCAACATCCATTTGTTTCATCTGATGGTCTTATTTAGCACACACCGCAAGTATCTTCAGTATCGAATCTATGTGCGAGCATATGCATTCGGTAAGTTAATATCATCCTTGCTTCTCACCACGCTCGCAAAACAGCATTGACAATAAATCCATCTTCGTCGATTCTAGCGTGCTTCAATGTCGGTGGACCATCACCTCCTTCTGTTGTCTTTGAATCTTCTAAATCGCTCAGAGGATCGGCATCGGCTCATATCTTCGTCTTGTTCGCTAAACTTCAAATCAGGACACCAAATAATCTTCTTGTGTATACGAAGAGATGAACGATACTCTACTAGCTCCAAGCTGCTTCCAACAGAACAGTCAGAAGGCATCAGCAGTTCTGAGCCGAAGCTTGGTGTACGATTCATTTTGTTGACTGTTCTTTGACCGTTTCCAAACATTTGTTTAATTCTGACTATCAATCCACTTGGTTCTCAACAATCCCATCATCACTGTTCCTTGCAACTACTATGTCACGTCTGGCTGTACATCTTGCGTAACCAAAATGCCGCCTATTTCACGATCATTCGACCTCACATAGCAAGTCACTTTGACCTTGCATTCTGATAACTTTTGTAGATAATTTTCGAGAACTGCTGACATTGATCAGAGGTCCAAGCAAAAGTGATGTAAGCTATCTTGTTGGTCGATGTCACTGCATGATTTCATTAGATCGTTATTCGCACGATATTAAAGAGGAACAGTCAAACCTGTGATGGCCTTTGAAATTTTTCGCATAGCCGAGAGACATAAACTTCAAAATCTTGTATTCGAGCTTTGTGCTTTTGCATCGTCGGCAGTAGCCAAACTCTTGACTCCAACACTCACGCTGATGTAATCCATCAACGGCCTCATCTTGTAAACGAACTTATATGGTTTGGTGTCGTTTCGTCGAGCGTTTACTCAAATAATCTGCTATAATCACCCGCCAAATATTCAGTCAAAACGCCTTTCCAAAAATAATGACTGCAGCTTTTCTCCATGATACTTCAGTTCCATCACTCCAGTCTGCTGTAAGAAAACACTTAACACAAATTCACCATTATTGGGTGGAGCGCCACATTTTCGAATGTTGCCTCTTCCAAAATTGAATCCTTCAGCATCCCCATTTACACTGAGCTTTTTTGCATCCTCCATTCAATGCAGCTAGTTTGACTCCTTAACCAGCTTCTCCCAGACTCCAGCCACGTATTTTTCTTTGCATTATAAACAATCGATGAGTGCAAATCACATTTAAGGCCCATCAAAAATTACATAACAGCGAGCAAACTGCTTGGATTCGATGAAACACAGTTTCTTTTTAAGACGGTTCTGTGTATGAAATAACTTCTAAACGGTTATGAAACATGACTTTATATCGCGTGATCTTGGATGTATCATTCTCCCTCAACCAAAACTGTGCCGGTATGTGTGTTTAAGCTTGCGACTCAGAGAGCTGAGAAGCACACACAGCTGGTGCGACTCGGTCAACTAACATGATCATTTTTAATGACCTACCGCTAGCTTCCAAAAGTGTCCAAATATTCCGCTCTCTATACCACTTTTCATCTTGGAAATGTGAAAACGACGTGTGTCATCTTCACGCGGTAACCATTGGCGAGCAGTTGTAAAAGTTACGTAGCATTACAAATGCCTTTATGACACTAAAGGCTGACCGTGTTTTAGCCTGATGCTGAGGCTTGATGTCTTGTGCGATGATACCGAATGCTGGCGTTGTCCACATGCCATGTCTCCATAACACTCCCTTATTTTTGACTACCTTAACATGACCCTTACGACCCTTTCTTGAGAAAGTAATATCGGATTCCCATCGGTAGTAGTTACCACCCCTTAGAAAAGACTATGGTGTGCTTGTTCGCCATTGTGGACACAAACATTGTACTGAAGGAAGGCTTAGTTGCGATTGCTATGTTGCCAATTTGTTGGGAAGATCCGAAGTAAAAACCTTACTATGTCCCTACTCCGTCGTCCTGACGTTGCCGTATCTGAGCCAAGTTACTCAGCCGTAATGACGCGCGACTACCTTTTAGCCACGAAAGGTAGAGGGTGTGTGTGAGTGAACGCCTTATAATTTTATCCTTTGAGGGAATTAGACCCTAGAGAGATTCTAATGATGCCACCAAATGCATGTACGGAACAAGATATGACATTACAAGCATTCAAGTAAGTCACAGTTTTCGTTTCTTGGTTTCGAAAACCCAGTCTATATTTTTTAGGCTTAGAAGAACACATAAATAGACCAAAAATATTTATTGTATCAGATTCTTACGATCAAACCTACAGTACTTCACCTCCACACAACAATGTTGCCACTTCCATCATGATTACACGTGCATGACGTTAAGCACAGCAATCTGTTTGGGCACATTCAATTTGTCAAGAGATTGAGGAGACGATGAAAGCTAGGTTTCTAACGAAATAGGCATCGAAAATGCCACACTCGACCAATGTCGGTCTGTACGATAAAATTGAAATACTCTGCGAAAGTTCTAAAACGGCACAAATCTTTATAATTATGAAGATGAGTGAACACGACCATTACGATCTGCAACAAAGCTCAGTTGTATCCTAGGAGGCCACGCTGCGTCTATCTAACATTCTCGAGCGATAGGTTCGTCGAGCGACCTAGCATGGGAGCCTGACCCTTCGTATTTTTAGTCTTGAGCGAAGGAACACACGTGTTTATTATTCCACAGGGATCAGCGAATTCTCGAAAGTGAAAGATCAGCGATGACAATTTACTAGATTGCAACAACTAGACGTGGGCGAGAGATTGGCTAAAGCTCTTTAACTCACTCTGACATAGACATAGCGGAACCTAGTGGAGGTTGGGATCAATTTGCATTGTTAACGATA